TCTGCTCTCAAAGCTAAATGATCATGTTTTTTGGAATCTTGTTATTTACTTGGTGCCATTGGCTGTTTTTGTCAATCTGTCTGCTTCAAGCACTCTCCCTCTTGCTGGGAGAGTAGACACCATGCTTGTTAGAATAAGTCTACAACTAGATAAAACTGGCTACAGGTGTCAGGAGCTCTGTTGAATCGGGGTATAGTGGACAGTTGTGACTGCCATCCCAGCTTGCTTTACTGCATTTCTCATGGTCCTTGATTTCCATTTGGGGATTCCTATGTTTCTACTTGGGGCTCCAAGATTGGAACACTTGAGCTCAGCTAAGCCAATCAGCACATTGCATTCTCTTACTTAGGCATGTGATTGGTCCAGAAGTGAGCAATTGAGCAGGTCCAGTTACAGGGCTCTCAGCATCTCTAGCTCATGATGCTCTTTCTGTGGAATAAATACAAAGCATATAGCCTGGGTCTCTCAGCAGTCATCTTGCCACTACCAGTGAATCAGCCTTAGATGAGTCTGGTATTAAGGAAGATAGAATGCAGAGAAGGATTGATACAGAACTTTGGTGACATCCTCTAACCACTAAATCAACCATGGCCTAAAGCTCCCACTACCTCTGGATTATATTTTTGAGACTTTATATGAAAAATTTTCTTATTGTTTAAACCAGTTAACTTTTCTGCTAGTTGCCTCAAAGAGAGTTCTAACTAACTCATAATATAAATGAATTTAGCACTTGGACTTGGTATAAAATCTCTTTGGTACCTCAGAAGATATTGTTAGCATACTTTCTGGTAGTACATGGTATCTACTTATTCTTCAAATTGTATATATGCATCATATGCACTTTGTATGTATGATATTTTACTATAAAAAGACAATAATTAATGTCATTATATACCCATCTAGGCAGAATAACCAATGACATTCATTTTTTAAAATATTTATTGAATGTCTGTTATATGTCAAACACATTCTAGGTCCTAAGGTATGGGGGGAGAAGAAAAAACCTACTCAAAAAATAAAAAAAGAACAAAGAATATATAGCAATGTCAGGTAATAAGTGCTATGAATAAAAGTAAACAGGATTAAAGAAAAGACAGAGATGTACTGTTATTGTAGGTAGCCTGGCTAGAAAGTCCTTTGACAAGATGACATTTGAGCAGAGACCTGAAGGAAGGGAAGGGATAAGCCTTGCAGATATCATGACTTAGGAAGAGCTCTCTAGGCAGGGGAACTGTGTGTGCAAAGGTCCTGAGGTGGGAGTGAGCTTGGAGTACCTGGGAAACAGCCTGGAGTCTGGTGGGCTGGAGTGCAGGGATTATGGGGAGGGTGTCAGAGAAGCAGCAAGGAACACAGCCTTATATGCTATGGCAAGGACGGGCTAAATTCAGGGGGAGAAAGGACATGTTCAGGACCCTGAGTAGGATCTGACTCAGAGTATTCAAAAGACTGCTGTTGAGGTGTGAAGTGTGTACAGAGAAAGGGTGGGTATGGGGAGGCCAGGTGGGAGGTCCTTATATTATTCTGGGTGAGAGAAAAAATGGCCCAGACTCTTACCGCAGCAGGGATGGCAACAAGTGGTCGGGTCCTGATGGTGTCTGGGAAACCTTGTCAGGGAACATGGATCAGATGTGGCAAGAGAGACAATGAGAGGACTCAGGATGCCTTAGGAGCCCGTGGGAGAGGAGCAGATTTGGGGAGACAATCAAGAGTTCTGTTTTGGGTGTGTTAGCTCTGTGATGCCTGTTAGATATTCAGGCGGGGCTCTCATGAGCAGATGGATATACAAATGCGGAATTGGGAGAACATGGAGCAATGCTTAGAGAAGCTTTACTTAGCCTTCCCATTGATTATCCTATCAGTGGCAGGTGGAAAACTACAGAAAAATCAATGGATGGAAATTTTATGGACACTGGTGGTCTTTCCTGAGATTTCTAAAATGTAGTGGTTCAGAAGCTTTGGAAAGAGCTCCTTAGGTTGACTGATGCATGAATCTGGTCAGGAAATCATGCCGTCAGAGGATAAAAATAACGCCACAAAACCCACCCTGTATGGCAGGGTCCACCACTCCAAGGCAGTCCAAACCGCGCTTCGATACTGCTTGTTGCTTCAGCAGACTTCTTCTTCTTCTTTCTTTTTTTTAATCTTCAACCGAGGATATGTTTTATTGATTTTAGAGAGAGAGAGGGAGGGAGAGAGAGATACAGAAACATCAGTGTGGGAAAGAAACATCAGTCAGCCACCACCTGTATGCACCCTGACTGGGTGGGGATCGAGCCCACAACCTAGATATGTGCCCTGACCAGCTATGGAACTCACCACCTTTTGGTGCACGGGATGACGGTCCAGCCAACCGAGCCACCCATCACTCCAGGGCTCAGCAACCTTCTAAACAGCCAAACACACAGACCTGCAAGTGAACACACAAGTGGTTCCAATTTATCTTTTGTTCTCAAAGGCCTGAGTACTGTGGGTTCAGTCCTTCTGCATCTGATGCCATTCTTCCTGCTAAATGACTTGGGAGTCTGTAAATACAGCGGCAGTATTGGGAGCAGAGAATGATAGTGACTTTGAAGAATGTGGGAGTCCCTGCCCTGGTGCTTGGTAACCTGTGACCTTCGTCCTCCAGCTCTGTGCAGCCTAAGCAACAGAAACACGAAACCAAAGGCCACGTGGGCTCCCTGGGCTCTGCCTCCTTCATTCTGTCAGACATATTCATACCTTAGCTGCTTCTTGGCTGCCCTTGAGCTGCTTCTCTGTGAAGTGGTTTAATCTAGATTTCAAAATGAACACCAAATGCAAATAAAAAATGATCACTTAACCAGCTGAATTTCTCCTCCATTTTCTCAAAGGGAGAGAGTAAGAAGAAGCACGACAGAGCATTCATAACTCTTCAGATGATCCCTGGGAACACTTCCTGTGGAAGGATTAAGGGTTCCCTGGAGGCACCCAGCTGAAATATCCCCATGTAGTTTTGCCTTCAAATTAACTAATGAGATCAGCCTCTGGTCTCAGTTTCCTGTCTTTGGTTATAATTGCTATTGCAGACTTACTAATCATTTCCTGCAGTCTTTCCTTCTTTGGCTATGATAAATATTAATGGCTTTAATTTTTCATCTCTCATTTGGGCCTGGAATTCTGTTTAGAGTGAGGGTTTTTTTGTTGTTGTTGTTCTCCAGACTGCTTTTCTCAGCAATGAACAATTTTCACAGATTTTTCTAGGTTAATTTTTAATTCAGACCTCACTTTCATTTTCCTTTGTTCTAAAAAGAATGAGAAGCCTTCAACAGCCAGGCCAAATTGAAGAATTTGAAGCTTGTCATGGCTTTTTTATTGTTTTCTCTATAGAGCCCCCGACCTGGGCATCCAAGGGCAGGCCAATCCCCTGAGACTACATGCAGTATTTTGTGTGTGGGGGGCTACGGTCTTCCTGCCACCCCACCCCCAAATAAAGATGTCATGACTTTCATCAGGTTATCAGAATATTTTTATTAGAAAACATTCAGAAACCCTGCTTAATCATTCTGGGGATTATTGCTTTGGGCAAATATGGTGACTTATTATTACCATGCATGGGAACAGACAAAATCATATTTCCTAGAGAGAGTAGGAAAAAGGCTATTTTTTTTCCCTAAGGACCACAGAGAATTTGAACCAAAACATGATTTCCCCTTCCCCACCTCTTCCTCTTTCTACAGTTGTGAGAACAGATTTCTCAGAATGGTAAATGATCTACCCCAAACCTCATGACTCGGTAGTTGCCGATATGGGACTAGAACCCGAGTCCTTTGGTTCTGGGCTCAGTATTCTGTTCACAGTCCACAGTCCATCAACAGCAAAATGACATGTCACACTCCATAATATTCAGCATCCCAAATTCTCTCTTTATTAGGGTGTACCAGTTTATTCTCTTCAACCGAAGCAATTTCATTCCAAGTACCTAAGTAAAAATACCTAAAAAACTTTAGTTACTGAAAAGAAACCTTCCAAACCATGTAAAGGGTCTGTACATCATAAACTTAAGGAATCATAACTTGTTCTTCACCCCTACGAAGAACATTCTTGTGCTTATCACAGATTCCAGCCATTACATCTCTTTGCATCCATGGTCCTCATTTCCCCCAGGATTTCAGAGGCCTTGCAGACAAGGGCCTTCTCTTGAATGCATTTCTGAGAAGATCTAGCACATAGTCGTTTTAATAAGGCAGATGTTTGTGGAATGATTAGTGCTATTTACACATTCCATTACATTTAGGACATTATCTAGGTGTCACTTCTGTGGACCATAATTCATAAGCCCAAATGCCTTCAAGGGTCAGGCAGGTGATATAAATTAATGAAGCAAAAGCAATTATGGGACCATAGAGGCAGTGGAAACAACAGAACACTGGGAATTTTATGGCCCATCACATTTAAAATTTTTAAAAAGCATTTCAGAGGCCAACCTTCTAGCTATGGTGTCATGAAAAGTTCAGCAAATTCTCTCCTCTGCAAAAACAAGTATAAAACTGGACAAAATTGTAAAGACCAACCATTTTTGTGTCCTGGAAATTGGCCAAAGGCAAATAATAAGTTGAGAAGCATTTACTCATAAAAAAACAGCTAGAGCCTTTGTCCTGCATCTGGAATGGTGCCTAATAAACAACTCACTATTTCAGTGTACCCACACAAGTTAAGTTTCTCCCAATTGTCTTGTATCTTATAAGATTTCATCTAATGTGATCTTTTGATTTGTTATCTAAGATCAGTATTTCTTCCAGATCTTAGAGTAATAGTTACTCAGAATTAAAGACACAAGAGCCATAAAAACCTAAAAGAGAAGTTCTAATGTCCAGTGAAAAATCAATGGTAAATTTAATTTAGGATAAGAATATCTAGTGTTGAAATACCGCAACATTACCCCCCAAAAAGCTAAAAATGACGTCCTAACTAAGTTATAAGAAAGTATACCATCTTAATGGTACAGGTAGGTACAATGCATCCGTTTTTATCTGTGTTCCCAGAATAAAGCATTATATGGGACTGTGGATGGTTTCACTTCTGAAGGCCAGTCCTAAGGAATGGGTGGTAACCGAGCTGCTCCACCACACGAGGGCGCACGAGCAGTTACTGAAAGTCTGCGGTAAGGCTCCAGCACTGCGTGGAAACACCCCGGGAGGGGGCTCTCTAGCTGTCGGACACAGTTCCAGGAGCTTATGTCATTACTTCTCGTTATAGCAAAGGGTTAGAAGGCAGCACATGAAGAGTGGCCTCATTTTTGTAAAATAAACACAATGGTAAGTTTATATGCATCCAAAAGGTTCAGGAAGATTAAACACCAAAATATTTTAAAAAGTGCTGAGTATTCTGAGAGGATAAGTGAATGATTTTTCTGTACTTTTCAAATATTTTACATCAAATGTTTATTGTCACCAAAAAAAGTAAAAAAAAAAGTTTTAAAATAGTTACAGGAAAGAGTAGAGATCTGTTGCGCAGAGTTTTTTTTCTGCATAATATTGCCAGTTTCTTACCTACTCACTACTTGGGGGCAGGGGGAGGAAGGGGTCACTTGAGAGGCATCTGTAGCTGGTAAATTAGCAAAGCTTGTAAGATCAGAACATAAAAGGCTGTATGAAAAGTCTATGAGTAATAGTAAAACTGGATACCAGAAACTTGGTATCTTTTTTGTGTGTGACTGATAATGTCATCAGTTGTAGTAGATAGTCTGTTAAAGGCAACGTAGTGGAGAAATACTTTTAAGTCTATCAGAAATCTGTGCTAGGTTCTTAAGATGGTCTCTTTGAAATGACTTAAAGAAATTGTGTTCTTTTGTTTCAGAAGAACAAGGAAGAACTTCATTCATATGCAGTTTTGCGTAAGTAACCAAATAATTCAATTCTGCATGGCAAAAAATCCAGAATGTTTTACATCTAAGTAAGTATGTCTTAGTTTCCAGGGAAACTGATATAAAATTGTCTGGCATAAATACATTAAAAGCAAACTTTCAATGTGCTTGTACTTTATATATGGTGTTCTGGCCTTGTTTCGATAGAAACTTAATAATAGGCAAATGCTGAAATTGAGGCTTCTCCTATCACTTTATTGAATTTTCCCCCAATTAAAAACAAATTGACATAAAATTTTAACTATCATGATGAACATAACAATGTAAATTCTGTACTCATGAACTCTATTTTTTCTCAACTTTTCTGATTTAACACAACTTATTACAGCCCCATCCTTCATCCTGGTTACTTGACCTGCCCTCTGCCAGCTCTGCCTGGAGTCCCTCTGTCCAGAGCACTCTCAGCTTCAATTCGCAGTCACAAAAACAAACCTTTTGAAATATATTGACTTTTAACCTGGTAAATTCCTGATATTTCATGACTCCTACTTTCAGTCTTATCTTAATGAATTTACAGGCATGGGATGGAGGGGTAAATGATGCTTCCGAGTTGTACACAGTCATTTCAAATGGAAGTAATCAAGACTGGAATAAGTTAATATAGGCCCGCTTTATGGAGAGATTATAAAAATATGGCGTGCATTCTAGAGTGTTTTAAGCACCATGAAAGTTGAATTTGGCGCATCTGTCACCTCCAACTCAGCCTCTTCTGTTCAGTAGCTGTGTGACACAGTCACCTGAGATCTCTAAGTCTGATTTCTTCATCAGCAATGTAGGGTGAATATACAGGAGCCTTATTTGTAGTTAGAAGGGCCAGATGAGATATGCATGAAAATGTGTTGTAAATCTTAAAAACAATTATGTAATGGTTAATTATACATATAATGGTAAATAACAATTATATATAATTTTATATATATCATTAATAAGTGGCTGAATATTGAACACCCACTTATGTAGGCTGTTCAATATTCAATTACTGCACTGCATGAAAAAAATAACACAAAATGAATGGATCAAAAAACTATGGTACATTTATACAATGGAATTCTATGTAGCAGAAAGAAAGAAGGAGCTCCTACCCTTTGCAACAGCATGGATGGAACTGGAAAGCATTATGCTAAATGAAATAAGCCAGGCAGTAAAAGACAAATACCATATGATCTCACCTTTAACAGGAACCTAAACAACAAAACAAACACACAAATATAACCAAAGACACTGAAATAGAGAACAGGCTGACAGTGACCAGAGGGGAAAGGGGAGGGAATTTCAGGGGAAAAGGGGAAGGGTTTACGGGAACAAGTATAAAGGACACATGGACAAAAACTAAGGGGGGTGGAAATGGGAGGGAGGTGGGGAGGGCTGGGTGGGTGGGCTGGGATGGGAATAAAAAAACAGAAAACTATACTTGAACAATTAAAATAAAAATTAAAAAATATAACACAAATCTGGAACTAAAAAAACAATCGATAATAGTACAGACCACTATAACGAAAATTTTAAAGGTTGGTAATGCTAAGTGTTACAAGAATGTGAAGTAACAGGATCTCTCAAGTACTGCTAGTGGGAGAGTAAATTGGAACAGCTGTTTGGGAAATGGTCAGCAGTATTAGCTGACCGTACTCTCATCTAATAACCGAGCCATTTCCACTATTAGCTACAAATCCAATAGCGATGCAAATACATGTGCACCAAAGACATGAGCCCTGGCTGGTGTAGCTCAGTGGATTGAGTGCGGGCCTGTGAACCAAAAAAGATTGCGGTTCGATTCCCAGTCAGGGCACATGGCTGGGTTGCAGGCCAGTTCCCAGCAAGGGACACATGAGAGGCAACCATACATTGATATTTCTCTCCTTCTCTCCTTCCCTTTACCTCTCAAGATAAATAAATAAAATCTTTCTTAAAAAATTTTTAAAAAGACATGAGATAAATATTCATAGCAGACTGGTTTGTAAGAGTCCAAAATAAACAAAAAAATATGTCCATCAACAGAAAAATGGATAAACACATTGTAGTATATTCATACAATGCGATATACAGTGATTTAATGAATGAACTGTATCTACACACAGCAGCCTGGATGAATGTCACGGGTATAGTATTGAGTGAAAGGAACCAGACAGAAAAACGTAATTGTACAAGATGATTCTATTTTTACAGTGTTGGAACTCATGACGATGGTCATAATTTCAGAAGGGAGCGATAATAGGGGAGGATCAAGGGGGTTTGGAGGTACTAGGGTTGCTCTTCTTTACCTCTGTGGTGATTGTGGTATTTGAATCAAGTGGTATTAGAACCGCTTCCTCCAGACCCGGGACCATGCTCCAAACTCCCGGAGAGCACGAGCTGTGGTTGAGAGCAAGGGCCTGGTTCCTCTTTCTGAATCCCGGATTCCCGGGGCTTGCTTGACTGGGGGCCTCCCATCTTAGGAAGCAGGGCCGCTGAGCGTGGAGCGTATCGCCGCCTAGCGGTGCAGAGAGGAGGTAAACTGCGTGGTAGGGGAGGTGCTGGCTCTATTGCCTGCGGGCTGGGATCTAGCCCGGGGTCCGGGCAGCCAGAGCGGGGCTGGCAGGGAAGACTCTCCCAGAACCTAATGCATCCTCCCTTAATCCGTGTTTCTTCGGACAAGGTCCCAAGACCGCCCGGTCTTAAGTTCCACAACCTCTGCCTGAAGACTCTAACTGTGGCCCTCTAAGCTCGGCTGGTCTTCGCTCACCAATTGATTATCCCCAGCACTGATCCACGAACTCCCTTGCAGTGCCCACTACAGAGCACGGGAACCCGAGAGGAACCGCAGGGCTGAGCCGCAAGAGATGGAACCCTGGCCACGGCTCACCGTGCCTTCTCGACAAAGGAACAGCAGTCCCAGCCAGACCTAGTGCAGCGGTGCATCCAGTGCTGGGTTCCCAGCCTCTCCACCGCCTGTTAAAGTGTCTTCAGCACCTCCGTATACCCCAGGAGTCTCCAAGATATCAATAGAGGCAACCACAAAGGGCAACTTGGGGAAAAATACCCTGCCTCAAGCCTTCCCAAGACTCGCGTCGCGATGCACCAAAGGGACGGCGTAAGGCTAATGATCCCACGTTCTGCTTTTCGTGGGTCAGCAGTTTTTTTTTCCCAAGGAGGCCCTGCTGGAGAGTGCTCTGCAAGTGGCCCTCGACGCTCTGGGTGAGAGAGGAGGTGGGGAACCAGTCAATATCCAGCACCAGAAACTCAGAAAGATAGATAATTCATCACCAAATAGAACGTGCAAAGCTCCATGCAGGGGAGAGAAAGTACTGTGATACTCTCCTCAGTGTGACCAGGAAACCACTCTGTAAATATTTAGAAAATAGCAATAGCCTGTAAGAACAGGCTACATACCCATACTTTCTCCATCTTCGTTTTTAAGCCAGTCTTCTGTACAGAGAAATTCGGACAGTGATCAGTTCTGCTAAAAAAAATCTATGAGCGACAGGCAATACCTGCACATTCCGCCTAGCACCCTACAACCAGGGGCTTTCCCTGACATGGAGGCAAGCTGAAAAAGAAGTTTGACTTACCCTTTTGTCCCTCTGCTGCGCCACACTGTAAAACCCAAGCCTGTGTCGTTCCCTCGGTCCCCTCCCACGCCATGGCCAGTCTAAAGTGCCAGGAGGGAACTCACAGTTGCCAAATGTCCAGTGGCAGCTGAGCCCTAAGAGAGGCCTGGAGGACATCCTCCATCTTCACTTCCTCTCGGGCTGCTCTGTTGTATAAGCTGGTCCTCATGACTCTGCTCCATCCCGACCTCACCCCCTCTTGCCCCTCTCACCTGGAGCGTGGTCTTGCCTGTCCGTTCTCACAGCAGGGTGAGCCTACAGCAAGCTTACGGCCTCTCTGCACTTCCACACCTGCCAGCAGCTTGTCTTGCCTGACTTGGAGGAAAAGGTATTCCTCCCGCTTGTCAGAGGCTGAATCTCCCACTGTCCCTGCGTTCTTATTGTTTTGTACACCCTATATAATTTATCTTTTCTTTTCTCCAGCCTTCCACCCCCACCCTCAAATATCATATAAATCTCTTAAATGCAGGGATCTTACATTCATTTGTTTTGCTGCAGACGTGGGGTGTGAGACAGAAATCGATCATGGATGAGTCCCAGATTTTTGGCCCAGGCACTGGATGGCTGGAGCTGCCCGTGACGGAGCCAAGGAAGGTCATTAATACAGCAGCCGTAACCGGAGGGTCAGATTTAGGTCTGGACACATTAGCACATTAGACATCTGTGTGGAGGTGTTGAGTAGGCAGTAGGAAGTCCAAGTCTCAGAGAGGAGGTCCAGGGTGTAGGGACAAGTGTAGCTGCCATCAGCACAGAGATGACCTTTAAAACCACGAGATGACATGAGAGCTACAAGAAGAGCGATTGTGGGTAAAGAAGACAAGGAGCCCAAGCACTGAGCCCTGGGTCGTTCCACTGCTAAGAAGTCAGGAGATGAGGAAAAACTCCCAAGGGGACTAGGAAGGCATTCTGTACTCAAAGGAGGAAAGCCTGGGGTCCCAGGGAAGAAAATGTTACAATGAAGGCAGCTCCTACGAGGGATCGGCTGTGTGCAAGAGGGCTCAACTGGTCAGTCCCACAAAGTGAAAACAGATAGAGTTTGGCCTTGTGGGGGTCATCCTTGACCTTGACAAGAGTGGTTTTGGTAGAACAGGGGGAATGAAAGCATGATTGGAGTGAGTTTGATAAGAAATGGATGAATGAATGAGAAATAAAAGAAAACTTGTAAGTTTGTGGAGATACAAATTAATGAAGAGAAAAGAAAGTGTTTCTGAACAAAGGTACTGGGGGCAATTATAAATGAGTGAGCTGTATCAAATAATCTGCTCACTGTTCGTACTCCTGAATTGCAACCCAGGCCCCCCAGCTCTTGCCTGAATAGATACTGACTGTGCTGGAGGCATGGCCTTGTCCCGGGCCAAAGAGGTTGTGGCTCTGTGGGTTCTTTTGGCTTTTCTCTGCCATCCCTTTGACCAGCCACCTCCTTGAATGAGGAATCAGTGAGATCCTGTTTACTCACTTGTTGATCTCTTACCCCTGGGTCTCATTTTAATCTTTTCCTCCTGTTTCATGCTGGTGAACCGACTTCCCTCTATGCTGTGGTCATGTGCCTGTTCCATCTAATACTTCAAAGTATAAGCCTTTGAAGACCTGGAGCAGCATGGAACATGCAGTGAGAGACTCCGACTGCAGCCTGATGGATCTGTGGCTTTCTGACACCCTTTCTTTTTAGAATAGCACACTTAATTTCAATCACCCCCAATGCCATTTTTGGTGTAAATTATTTTAAGGTTTCTCAGCTTGGATTCACAAAAATTAAAATCACCCAATTCTTATCGCAATCACAGCAACAGTGGAATCCTATCAGAGGACAAAGGTTGGCTAGGTTCAGGCTTATATTAGATATTGAATATGAAAGTGTATATAATAGCACCCTGCCTGGTACTTAATTAGTATTTCCCCCCACTCCCCAAATTCATTTTTTGTTCTCAAAATAATACAATGAAATATCATCTGCTCTTAAAAGAAGCAAGAGCCTCGTGACTTAGTGGGAAAGCAGGGGAAGTGGCTACCACTGCACAACGCGACAACAGTAAAGCGGGTCCGGAAGCCTGAGGAGGAGAGGTAAAGAACCGCCCGAAATGTTGGCGGATGTAACAGGTACCCGCCTGAAACACCACCAGGCATGCAGAACTCTTAATTACTCTGTCATCACCTAAGTATTCAAACAAGTCTTAAGCTCAGTGAAATGACTAAAAACAAAATCAATAACAAAAATTCCTGCAAAATCTCTTTGGTCCCATAGTAGGGAGACAACAAAAATATAAATTACTTCTATGAACTGACCGTTATTTTGACAGATTCAACATCAGTGAAAGATAATTTTCAAACATTTTCCTTAAAGCAATTTGTAGAATTAAAGATTGTCCTCATGGTGCTATTTAAGCATCAGGAGTGTGGAGGGAGATTGTTTTTCATCTGATTTCCAAGAAAAAAGACTTTTGCAGCAAAGAAAGACCATGTAATTTACTTTGTTCCTTTTTTTTCCTTTTTCTTTTTGGTTTTCTTGTGCTAATCAGATGTTTGCTTTAGATAAAGACTGTTCCTGTCCCCTAGAGCAAGGAATATAAAGGAAAGAATAAACAAATGGGATCTCATCAAAATAAAAAGCTTCTGCGTGGCTAAAGAAAACAGTATTAAATTAAAAAGATAACCAACTGTATGGGAAAACATATTCACCAGTCATACCTCAGACAAAGGTTTAATCTCCAAAATATACAAAGAACTCACACAACTGCACTCTAAGAAGACAACTAACCCAATTAAAAAGTGGGAAAAGGACTTGAACAGACACCTCTCCAAGGAGGACATACAGATGATCCAGAGACGCATGAAGAGATGCTCAATATTGTTAGCTATCAGAGAGATGCAAATTAAAACCACAATGAGATACCACTTTACACTGGTCAGGATGGCTATCATAAAAAAAGTAATAAACAACAAATGTTGGAGAGGTTGTGGGGAAAAGGGGTCCTTAGTTCACTGCTGGTGGGATTGCAGACTGGTACAACCATTATGGAAAACAGTATGGAATTTTCTCAGAAAGATAAAAATCGACCTGCCTTTTGACCCAGCAATTCCACTGCTGGGATTATATCCTGAGAATCCTAAAACATCAATATCAAAGAACCTATGCACCACAATGTTCATAGCAGCACAATTTACAATAGCCAAGAGTTGGAAGCAACCTAGGTGCCCATCAGTAAATGATTGGATCAAAAAATTGTGGTACATATACACAATGGAATTCTATGCTGCAGAGAGAAAGAAGGAGCTACTACCTTTTGCAACAACATGGATGGAACTGGAAAGCATTATGCTGAGTGAAATAGGCCAGGTGCTGAAAGACAAATACCATATGATCTCACCTTTAACAGGAAGCTAAACAACAAAACAAGCAAGCAAACAGAAAAAAAAAAACAAAAAACAAAAAACAAAGACACTGAAATAGAGAACAAGGGGATAGTGACCAGAGGGGAGAAGGAAGGGAAGTTGAGGAAAAGGGGGTGGGATTTGGAGGAACAAATAGGAAGGACACAGGGACGAGAACTAAGGGGGGTGGAAATGGGAGGGAGGTGGGGAGCAAGGGGCGGGGGAGGCTGGGATGGGAAAAATAGACAAAAAACTGTACTTGAAAAATAACTAAATAAAATTAATTTTTAAAAAAGTCAGTTAAAAAAAGCATTTTTTGAGAAACCTCACCTTTTTCCATAGCTTTCTGAAAAGGGGTCTGAGACAGGCTTCAGTCTGTTTCTAAGTAGCACTGGTCAGTTTACCCTGCACACTGTGCTTCACCTAGTCTTCTCTGGCATTCAATTGTCAGCCCAAACACTTAAAAGGAACTGTTGAAAGAATGAGTAAATTTAGACTGCAGTGCCACCCAGTGGTTGAACAAGTTTAAAAGTTTCCTAACACGAAACAATGTAACTGATAACTTAAATTTCTCTATTGATTACAGTATCATCAAATGATCTTTCTTTTTTAAAAAAAGATTTTATTTATTTATTTATTTATTTATTTATTTATTTATTTATTTAAGAGAGAGGGGAAGGGAGGAAGGGAGGGAGAAAGAGAAGGAGAGAAACACCAATGTGTGGTTGCCTATTGCGTGCTCCCTTCTGGGGACCTGGCCCGCAACCCAGGCACGTAGCTGGACTGGGAATCGAACCGGCAACCCTTTGGTTTGTAGGGGTGCGCTCAATCCACTGAGTGGCACCAGCCAGGGCCTCATCTACTATTTCATTGATGAACTATATCTACTTATTCCGTCATGTATGTTTTGAAGTAGTGCCTTTGGCAAGTCATAACTTCCCTACTCTATGTTCCTAGTTCAAAGATAATTCATTTCCCCCTAAAAAGAATTACCAAATTGCATAAATAATTCTTTCATAGAAATAAATTTTTACTTGTATTTCTATTGCATAAAATTCAACCTGCCTAAATTATCAGCCAGAATACTATATGTGCTGTGATATTTAATCAGTTCCCCAAGTATGTGGTTGTAGTGTTTGGACTTTGGACTTTGGACTTTTGCAGTAGAAATAGTAATTTGATGACAAATTTCTATTAAAGCCCCTAACTAAAGGGAAAGGAAAGAAAAAAAAGGAGCAGAAATTAAAAGACTATGACCCATACCCTCCCCCGACCCTCCCCCACCCCAGAAAACTACCTCGGTGCCTTGGGTTTACCTGTACAAAGAGCACCTAAAGGCAGATAAACAGGGAAGGCTGAGGAGAGCATAGCCCCCAGTGGCATGGCCTGTGCAATCCTATATAAGGAGAGGCCGCCACTTCAAGAGAAAACTCTAGTTCATAACTAGTTCCCATGCCCTACCTAGTTCCATATCATTTCCTCAATAGATTCAGAATCTGGATGACTGGTACAACTATGTTGTATGTATGTCTGTCTGTATGTATGTATTAGAGTTAGCAGACACAGTTGAGACTTTATTTTGGGAAGAACATCTGATTTGGGTTTTAGTCTAGAGCATAGGTAAGAGGGAGTCCCCAGGCAGTAAACTCCCCCACCCAAAGGTGAACTGAAGACTGGGGCTGAGCCTCAGGTGGGTCTCCTGTGCCCTCTGGTCCCAGCACAGCTCTTATCCTGCTGGCTTGGAGGACAGGAGGGACTGCAGTGATCATTCACTTGGGCAGGACATCAGATGACTCAGACACCAGCTTTCCATGGTGGGTCTCAATCTTCCTCACAACCACCATCTTGGAGAAGCTGGTGCTGGTGCAGCTGAAGGATCCAGAGGCCCCACCAGAGCCCATATTGGCCTAGAAGCCCAGGTCGTTGTGGAGGTGCCTGTAAGCCAGGCTCAGCTCACCTGAGTAGTGGCTGGTAGTCTCAGTATAGATGCTCATGTTCTGAATCCCAGACCCAGTTTGGTTCTCCTCATCCTCCAGCAGCTTGTGGTCAACAGGTCCAGGGCCAGTTTGATGTTCACGAGCTCCTAGTACTATTCAGCTTCTAGGCCATGTCCTGCTTGGTGGTTCTCAGAGCAGCTTCCAGCCCAGCCATTTTGGCCTGAGCAACCTTGATGGCCAGCTCCCCACACTGTTTGGCATCAATGCTGGTGGCCTCCAGAGAAGCCCTCAGGCCTTTGAGGCCATTGATCTCAGTCTGCAGTTGGCTGATGTTCCAGTTTACCTCAGAAATCTCTGACTTTGTGTGATGCAGGTCATCCCGTGCTTCCCAGTCGATGTCTGCAGCTCCTCATAATTGATCTGGTGCATGGTGTCAGTCTCAGCCCAGCTGCAGTTGGTGATCTCCTTGTTCTGGGCCTCAACCTCAGCAATGCTGCCATCCAAGTCCAGGGAGCAGTTGTTGTCTATTGACAGCACCACGAACATGGCAGAGATCTGGGTCTGCAGCTTGGGAATCTCCTCTTCATACAGCTGCCTGTAGAAGTTGATCTCATTGGTCAGCCTTTCTCGGTGGACTCCAGCTCTACCTTGTGCATATAAGCTTCATCCACATCCTTCTTGATGAGGACAAATTTATCCCCCATCTCTGTGTGCTTGTTGATCTTGTCAGCCCCTGCATGTTTCCAAACTGTGCCTATAGCCTCAGTTTCTCCTGGGCCAGCCTTTCCAGCTGCCACCGAAGATTGTTGATGTAGCTCTCCAACATGTCATTCATTTTACTCTGAGTTATCTGCTGCTGCTGCTGTAGGAAGGTCCACTTGGTCTCCAGAATCTTATTCTCCTGCTCCAGACTCTACACCTTACCAATGAAGGAAACAAATTTGTTGTTGAGGCTCTTGATCTGTTCCTTCTCCTGGTTGCACATGGCCTGGATGTTGGGGTCCACCTCCAACTTCAGGGGGCTCGACTGGCTCTGATTCACTTGGATGACTCTGATGCTCCACATATGCCCAGCTCTGCCAAAACCCGTGGCCAGATTCACGTTGGCACCCAGGCTACCATGGTAGCTGCTGCCCACCAGGGAAAAGGCTGAGGAGCTGATGCTGGGCCCATTTGAGTCTAAGCAGCTGCTGAAGGCCTGGGGACCAGAGGTGGACACCTTGTAGTTCTTCTGGGTCACCCTTGTGGCCATGGTGGAGGCGAGGAGGCGAAACCAGACAGAGATTCAAGAAAAGCCAAAAACTCTTGCTTCTCAACTATGTTGTATTTAAACTGTAAATGTAAGTAACAGCATTTGTTGCCTTTCAATCTCATGGCCTGAACACAACACAAATAATTTGTGAAGAAATGTTGAAATGAATCTGGGATTTGCACACACTCTACCTAAACTACTAAAGACAGAAATGCTGAGAAGAAAGATGGAGTGAGCATATCACAGCAAGAATAAGCAGCTACCTGTCGAACTGAGAAAATGAACAATGTCTGAAAGGTTATTGATGTGCTTGCTTGTTTCACTGGCAATGTCCTCCTTCCTTTCCTTACTGTCATTACCCCTCATAAAAGCTTTTAGAACTCTCCACTCACTGCACTAACTGCCTAGAATGTCTTTTAAAATGTAGAACTCCTCAAACTTCTTGTTCATTTCACTGCTGTAATTATTCTCTTGGTGTTTATGTTAGTAAGTCAGCTTTAAAGAAAAGTGCCACAAGGAACATAAATATTCCTTGTCTTTGATTAACCTTTATTATACCCAAGTGCAGAGCAAAATCATAAATAGTGCACATGCCAGAAATGCTTATTGAGCTTTCCTATACCAATCTCTAACCCTTGACCATCTAAAGATATAAAAACAGTTATTAACCAACAAAAGACCCTTCTTTCTTAGCCTGACAGCACACACCTTACAGACTTTGGTGGTGATGCCCATGTCTTTGTGATCCTCACCTGTCCCCGAAGACTCTTCCAAAGCCTGAGGAAAAACAATGCTCCTGCTCATGAGTGAAGAGCAACAACTGAACAGATGTGTTATCAGTGCCAGTCTAAATCTGGCTTTTTATTACACAAACTGTCTAATTGCTATTTAAAAACCTGATGGAATTTCTAGGTAAACATTTTTAAAAACACCAATTTGCCATTTAAATTGTGAAAGCATGTCATCTTTATGAATTAAAAGACAGAAAATGGGGCAAGGGGAGTGTCTTCTAATGCACATGAGATTTCTTCTCAGGGGAACAAAACTGTTCTAAAATTAGATTGTGGTGATAACTGTATCACCTCATGCATATACTAAAAACCACTGAATTGTGTGTACACTTTAAATTGTGTATACACAATAAATTTTAACGTATGCAAATTTCTCAATAAAGTTGTTAAAGAGACGGAAAGGAAGAAAAAAAGCCCAGAAGTGGTTCCTCACACCAGTTATTCCAGTAAAATTTAGGGCCCACAGACAGGTCTTGAGGTTGGGGGTACAATTAAAAGGACATCCTCCTCAGTGATGACATTTGCATGTGTCAGAGCTAGCAATGAAAGGAAAAAGGAAACTAAAGCTTTACATTTTATTAAGTATTAAGAGCTTTAATTAAGCCATATTGTTTGCTATTCGGATAATACAACATTGCTCTTAATT